AGTGACATTTTTGTTATATAATTTTATTTTATTTAAAAAAAATAAAACCCTTCAGATACGTTTATGAAAGTTATAGAAGGGTAACTAAAACATTTAACAATAATTTAAAAATAAAAATAGATTATATAAAAGTTATACAATAAAATAAACAGTTGTTTTTTTGTGTTTTTTTGGAATATACTATTACATTGAAACAAATTAGAAGTAAACTGAATCAGGCTCGGCCCCTAGGATTAGAAGGTTTGTGTTCCGCACCTGGGTAAAAGATGAAGTTATATGGAAATGGTTTGTATTCATAATTTATAGTTAAAATGATCTTGTTGTTTTATGTGCCGTTTTACGAAGGCTTACCGGGTAAGTCCCTACTAGTAGGAGTGATCTTCTCACATACCGGGTAAGATTCTCAATCATTGTTATGCATCTTACAGATATAACATCGGTTCTTGCTACTCTAAACCAGTAATTTGAGTGATATATACCAATAAACGTTTAGCTGATAAGTGTTTGATAAGCAACACATATGATTGGTGAGGGAATCAATCATTTGGTTAGTTGGGATTTGAAGGAGGGGTGTGGATGGATGCTATTGATGGAGGATTTGGGTTGTTTTTTTTCCCTTAAAATATATAATATATGATATTTATATATAATAAATATAATAAAAAGACTTGCACACCTTTTTTTTAATTAACCTGGAAATCCAACTTGCTATGCGAGTCGACTAATCTCAGGACGACCACCTGCTTTGCAGATAGCCCAAAGTCACCACATTTGAACCTCCGTGGCCACAAGAAAATTTGAATCCTTGATCTCATAGAAAACAATGACTACAATACCGTTAAACCAAAGACCCTTTGATGATTTGGCTAGTTTATGGATGTTAAAAGGTTTTTGCTAAATGATTGGTGCATACGAATGCAAATGTTGATGTTACCTATAAACATAACAATAGAGTAAATTATATTCTTGGTTCTGTTATGTGTTTTAATACTTTAGATCTTCATTTTGAAATATCTTATGGATTATATCCTTGTGATTTGTATTTTATAACACATTAGGTCCATAAATCTAACTTTGTTAAATTTTTTCTGTTAAATAGGTTAATTAAGAGGGTGTTTCCGTCATTCTAAATATAAAAATCAAAGAGGCCAAACATATAATTTACTCTCTATGTATTCTATATGTACTAAATAATTAATGTATATATATAGGGTTGGGTTCACGTGAGACCAGCCTGTTTTCGTGAGACCCGTGAGACCACATTTTTACACATAACCTTCACAGCAAAAACACTGTGAAGGTTTAAAAAAAGTCGAACCTTCACAGCAAAAACACTGTGAAGGTTTTAAAAAGTCACCTTCACAGCAAAATGCTATGAAGTTTCAAGTGTAAAATGTTGGTCTCACGGGTCTCACGAAAACAGTCTGGTCTCACATGATCCCAAGTCTATATATATATATATATATATATATATGGTATATTTCAAATGAAAGATGAATAAGGTTCATTAATTATAATCAATACTTTAAAACTTCTATGAAATCATATATTTATCAAATTAAATGGACGGTTGAGATTGAGTTGTATTGGTTGTACAAATGTAAAAGGTTGTATAATAACTCACACTTCTCTCTCTCTCTCTCTCTCTCTCTATATATATATATATAGAGAGAGAGAGAGAAGTGTATATATATATAGGGGTGGGTTCAAATAAAAACCACTCAATTTGTAAAAACCGTGAAAAYCTCATTCAACAAATCATAATTTTTCATTTTGTTCATTTTTTTGTAATTATGAGAAGTTGATTAACCATTTTTATTGTAGAGGGTGTTAATCATGGATATTATCATCTTCATTATTTTAATTTTAGAGAAATACATGAAACAGTTTCATTAAAATTTCTTTAAGTAGTATATGAAACAATTTCATAACCACATATGAAACAACTTCATCAAAAAAAGTATTATATGAAACAGTTTCACAAGATTAACAATTTCATGAAAAAATTTCATAAGATTAACGATGGATGAGAGTAGTTTTTACGGTTTTTACAAATTACAGTGTTTTTTATTTGATCGATCCTATATATATATATATATATATATATATATATATATATATTATGTTTATCGAATTTCTTTCACCAATTTCCTTATTATGACATTGTACTTTGATTTTTTCTTATTACAATAGTATTCGTTTAAGTTATTTTTTTATTAATTTATTGTACTTATTTTTTTAGATTAGAAAATACACTTTCAAATTGTTTTTTTTTTTATCAAAACATTGTACTTCTATTTTTTCTTATTATAACAATATGTTTTAAAAAATTTATTCATTATAACAAGTAACTTTTTGATTTGAATTAAGATAACATGCTATCATTTTTTCATGTCATGTCATTGTTCACGTGAAATGTGGATGACATGTTATCCTGATTAATATAATATATATGAATGGTTCAAACGAGAACACTTATAAACCTTCAAATTAATTAACATATAATGAATTAGTGTTTATCCATAATTTTATGTTATCTTTAGTTTATCCTTATTCTTTAAATTTTGTTATTATCATCTTAGACTTTTTATGTTGATGAATTCATTGTTGATAATAATGTGATGATACTGTAATAATGATCTAATTTTATCGCGATAATATTGTGATAACGATATGATACATTATTGTGTGATTTTGATGTGATAATCATCTAATAATTATGTGATTTTTGTTATGATAACGATATGATAATCGACAGTAGCAATAATAATATCTACATTCATCTCTTGTTTATTGTATGATTTTGTTGTGATAATAATAAGTGTATATGACATATATATATATATATATATATAGAGAGAGAGAGAGAGAGAGAGAATTAGGGGCTGTTTGTTTGGCTCTTAATGGTGACATTAAGAGCCAACCTCTTAATCGGTCAGAGGTTGAGGTTGTTTGGCAAAAAACAAATGCCTCTTAATGGTTACAATCCCCCTCTTAACTATTTTGCATCTAGGGTACCATTAAACCATTCAGATTACAATTCTTCCCACTTTACCCTTCCACACCTTTTACCAGCTGCAGTCATCGCCTCCATCTTCTCCAGCTGCAGTCATCGTCTCCTTCCCTCTCGTCGCCGGTCTTCACAGCCCCTCCCCCACCCTCTCGTCGCCGG